CACCTTCTTAGATATATCTACATTATCAAAAGGAGATATATAGATGTTTCTGTATACCACCTAACCCACCTCTCTGCACTGTTTGTGCCGCCGTCTGGCCAACAAACATACCTAACGTATCCCCATATAGAGAAATGGTTAAGTCGTTCACAGAAAACCTACAGTGATTCAGCTTACGACCAACTTATGACAACCAATCATATCCAAATCAAAATCTACCCTTCTCTCCCCTTTTTCATATTAAGAGAACCAACTACCAAAAGGACATGATACAGAATAAATATTCAGATAACCTTGGGTGAGAGAGAAGCGTCTTCCCAGACCCTCCGACCTCAACCGCAACACCACCAAAACAAGTCGCTCATCCACTCACTGTTGCCTTTGCCAGCTAAGATACCACCCAACTAATGCAATCCCTAAGAGGCATGATAGTAGATATGCAAATAGCGCCACCATGCAACCGACAATGAATCCCCAATATTTTCCTTTCTCCCTCCATCCAATTGGGAAAAAGAAAAGAAAGAACCAAGAAGAAGAACATAGAATAGTATACACCCATAGTCTACAGCTACTCTCCCTCACCAGTGAGCCACCACGGACTCACGGAAAATGTCCCAAATGACCACAATAGCCACAACCCTCCCCAACGCTCCAAACATCCGCATGCCCCAAGGGTGTCTGCCTTCTATACCACTCCATGGGCACCGGGTCCGGAAAAGGAAATAACTCGTGCGGAATCTGGCGTAGAGTATGATAAGTCTGCGTCCTCAGACTGGACTCATAATCCACACCTACCATCCCGCTAAGTTCCTCGTATATAGGATGCGACCGTGTTTGTGTCTGTGTCTGTGTCTGTGTCTGCGCCTGACTCTGCGCCGTATTTCCAGTCCCATTTTCTCGCCAGCGCCGTTTCATTTCCTTTGCATACGCCGAAAGGGAACGGTGGTAAGTAGGGCTCGGAATCTGAATCTGACAGTTGTCCTCCGCCTTTTCCCGCTGGTAGGGGAATAAATGATAGTCGTCCGTGTCGAAGACGCTGAGGGTGTGGGGAAACAAAGTTGTAGGAAGGCTGACACCTTCGAAATTAGATACCCACGCATTTTCTGTGAGTTCACGCGGATGGGGCCACCATGGGGAGATAATTACACCTCCAGTCCCCTTGCTGGTCGTCACAGGGCGCATGCAGCGATGGGTTCCACGCTTCCATACACCTTGGATATAGCTAGGGAGAGGAAGGAATGAAGATACGTGCGTTTTACAGTTCCTAATGTCTGCCTGACGAACGTGGTGCCAAGGGATGGTGTTCAGGTTGATTGTGGCGTGGATTTCTATCCGCTCAGCAAGCGGGAAACAGTTTTTGCGCATGAGGCCGATGAGGAGATGATGGGAAAGCTCCACCTGTAAGTCGTCCTCTGCATGGCCAATCCTTTTCTCAGCCGGACGTGTTTGGGGTAATTGCGAACAACGTGTTACGCCCCCTTGGATCACACTGGAAAGCTCCATGTTGATGACCAATGAGCGGAGCTTTGGACACAGAGGAACCTGCAGTCCACCTTGACATTCCGGACAGGAGCTTTGGGCGGGTAGGTCTATGAAGCAAGGACAGAGTTGTCTAATCCGCAGGCGGAAGTGGGTGAGGCCTGGGAGCATCCTTGCAATTTGCGGGCATAGATGTTCGCCGTCAGCGTAGGTTTCGAACCCCGAAGTGTCAATTTCAAGATCATTGCATGTCACTGGGAGAGATGCTATGAGAGCTACCAGAGCGGAAGCGGGAAACCCCGGTTCAGCTGTGATCCTATCAATATCAACATCGCTCCCTAGGTCGAGCGCACCGACTGGCTGATGGTCGACCCGCAGGGAGAAGATCCGAAGCGCTTGCATATCCCCAGCTATGATCTTAGATAGATCTTTCAGGAGACAGCCCAGGGGCCAGGTCGTAGCTGTAGTAGATCTTGGGTCTCCTGCTGCGACGTCCAACAACAAGCTTAAGGATTGGATGGCATAAGACTTCGAGCTGAGTGGTAGCCTTGTACTTTTCAGGAATCCGGAGAGGCTCTGATTCCTCAAAACTACAGCAGCTTGCAGCACAACCATTGCCAATGAATACCATTTCTTGCACACAAGCAGGCATGGTAGGAAGGTGTGGGTTGATGTGTTCTCCCGAAGACGCAATAAGATCTTTTGGAGGGTTGCATCATTTTCTAAGAGCACTTTATCACTTGAGGAATAGGAGTACGCCACTCCGACAGAGCGGCCAGTCATTATATTTTGGTTTCTTTTGTGGGTCAATGAGAAGAAGGCCTGGAGGGCCAGCTAGAGAATAGCGAACGAGAAGCAAGGTAATCAAGAAAAACCAAAGCGGGCCCCGTATGTACTCTGCATTTATTATCAGCAGTACAGAACCTGGATATGAGGCGTCAAATCGGAGCATCTGCAGACCCTAGAGACTGGGTCATATTTGACGAAAGACACGACTTTCTGCACACGATATAACAGTGCTGAATCAGAAGCCATGCCTCCTGCACGTAAACAACAAGCATAACAAGATAAACAACCAAGGGAGTTGAGCATGCCATTGGCAAGAGCAGCGGAAGGGCGAGATGGCGCCGTTTCTTGCCCCTTGAACCTTCTAGTCGCCAGGAAACATTTAATAATCAGATCATTCAATCGGCCAGAGGAGAGAATTTGCATTAAAAGGCACGGATATGCGAGAAACAGCAGATCTTTGATGTTAAAATAAATCTTGCAGGAAAACCACGCAGGCACACACGAAAAATTGAGAGGGCTTGCCGGAGGTTGGAATCATGCAACGCCATCCGGCGAATTGGATTATAATTGGAGCAAGTTGATAGCTGCTGTTGGCTCAATCTAGATACCAGACGCCTATTTCAGGCACCTGTGTATAAAAAGAATATGAAAATGGTGCTTGCTTAGGGCTTGCCCCTATCCATGGATGTCATGAGAGGTGACAAGTGACAACCGCCAGCTGGGTCCGGTGGAACAACTACAAACACATGAAAGATTCCCCAATCGAAGAAGCGGAAGAGCTTGTTGGCGATTAATTTGCGCGAAAAAAAATAGGAATTTTTTTATTTTTTCAGACAAGTTCCGCATGTTGCATATTTGTGTCTAGTGCTTGATGGAGGTATGAAATTCAACCGGCTTTGCTATGGACAAAACCCAATATCATCGGAGCCCAGCATGAAATCCCATATCATCATAGGCAGAGACCCCCTACGGAATAATACGGAAATGTACCCGGTTGATTTGCCTCTGCCAGCCGAAACGTCTGGCCAAATTATCACCCAAGGCAGGTGTGTACCTAGGCGGGTAAGAAATAGATGGATTTTCATTTCTCCTTCTTCAGAAATGAAACAAGCAAGTAGTGAATGCTGTCCCATCTTTGTTTCCCCTATTCTATTGGAAACCATATATGTACGTGCTTGTGCATGTACTGGACGTATCATGTCCATTGACATTCCAAGTTGGGATGTCAGCGAATCACGAAAAGGGGATAAGAATAATATATCACACATCCATATAGAAGAAGGTAACGACATAAAGAGGCAATGCAATAATTGGCGTGGCGGGAATGGCATTTCTCTGCCCTTCTCCCCACCCCCCGCCGTCCCCCAAATTAGCCTGGGAACAGCAGGAGATGATTGCTCAGTGCAGAGGGAGAGGGAGGATAGAGGACCTGCTGGTGGTTGCGTAACAGACCAAGTGAAGGGACGATTAAAAAAAAAAGAAAGAAAAGAAAACTGAACAAAACCAGAACTGAACCCAGTCCCAGTCCCAGTCGTGATGGTGGATTCAGCACTCCAGCTCTCCGACGAGGTCCGCATTAACAGGGCGAAGACGATAATTTCTCGTCAACCACTCGCGCTCCTCACGCATGCCACGACGTTCCGCCTTGGTACTAGTAGGCAGTGGGGATGGATGACACGTGGGAAATGCAGCGGATTCTCCCTCCTCTGGACAACAGCAGCGGATGCGAAGGCGAGAAGAGAGACAACTATCTGTCTGTCTGTCTGTCTGTCTGACTGACTGAGACCAGTAGGTAGCGGAGGAGCTGGATTGGAGGGGGAGGCAAGGCAAAAGGCCGCTCTTGACTGGCCCTTTGTTTCCTCTTGGCTGCCTTTTTATTTATGTTGTGTTGTCTGCTGTGTGCTCTGGGGTGTTGTTTGCCTGTTTCTTGTCCCACTATTTCTGAAGGTAGATAGATATGGTTGCTTTGGATGGGTTTTGGACCTGGCTGGGTGAGTGTTTGGTGGAAATCTATCCAACGTGTGAGAAGAGCCAGGAGCTGGGTTAGCTGGTTAAATTCTCATTTGATGATTGGGAGTAAGTTTCTTTCTTTTTATTTTCTTTCCTTATTTTCTTTTCTTCTTTTTCAAAAACGAACATCAAAGGTAACTACACTAGACCTGTTAGCCTTCAAAATTGAGCAAACACGAGAATGAAGAACGATTTAGAATCCTAACCTGGAGCCAACGGCCTCCCCTCCCTCCCCTTGCTTCCGGGTGCGTGTCCCGGGGTTGTTTGAAATAATAATAATAAATAAAGACGTAAAATATAAAAATGTCAATGGCCCAAGTCAACCAGAAGGGGTGTCGGGCAAGCCAGCCAAAGAACAAGAAAAAAACAAAAAAGCACATGCAAGCAAGACAAGGGATCTATGCATGCATGCAGTGCCAGCTCATCAGCATCGACCAGCGCAGCTAAACCTGTATAGTCTCTCCTCTTGATTCGCCAGCGGACCCTTTTTTTTTTTTTTCCGCACTTTCTTCGCTCTGTTTTTTCCCGCTGAACTTATCGGTTCGATTTCCTTCTTCCTCTTGCTTAAGCCCTCCCAGCCTTTCTTCTATGTTTTTCTCTACAGCGCTAGTTGTTGGAGGAATGACTCTGTTTTCTTCATACCCAGTTATCAACCACAAAGAAGCCAGTAAAACACAGTAGTAGATGGTGGTCTTCGTTTCCGCCACCTCCTGTTCCAACTCCCGCCGACTCTGACACACACAAAACCCATAATCGCCCTTTGTAGCCGAGTATCTAGCTCCTGGCCTCGCTGTATTCGGACCAACGATATTGCAGCACTCTGATCTGCGGCCGCTGGGCCACTCCCCCCGAACAGACGCAGCATTCGAGCTTACTCTAGTTACATAGGTACTAGACATAGTTAGTTAGTTAGCATAGTACATGGGGCTGGAACTGGGCCCATGTTCGAAGCCATGGCATGGCATGGCTAGGCATGGCCACCTCGACCGAATTCCGGCCCAGCTGCTGCAGGACGACGCAATGGGGAATGATTTATCAAATGGTGCAATAAGCATCAGTTAGTTATAGTTAAGGATAAGTTTTCTAGTCGAATGTGGGTTCCTCCTCGGCTCCCAACCCCACAAGAATAGCAATTCATGTAGTGTTCGACATTTTTGTAGGGAAGAGGGACAGGGGTTTGGATTGGTAGGGGATCGGCGGCAGCTCAATCGATAATGGGAGTAGCGAGTGTTTTGGATATGGATATGGATGGGGATGGGGATGGGGGTGGGGATGGGGAAGACTTGACACAGCACTTGATGCTAGTAGTGTGTTTTTCTTTAATCCTTCCCATACATGTCGTACGTGGACGGATATACCAATCAAGTCAAGTCATGTTTTGACGGATACAGACAGGGAGGACTCGAGGGTGTCTATTTTATTTCATTTGCTCCCGCTCTCTGGTGTATCTCTTCAGCCGAAATGATGTGTTCCTTTCCGTAGTTACGGCGGGCGGAGGGGAGGGAGGACTATTTACAGACCGCAAACTTCCCCGCGATGACTTGATGGTTTCTATGCATTCGCTGCAGCTTTTGGGCGGTGAAATCTGGAAGCATCACAGAGACAGACAAAAGGTTAAAAAAAAGGAAACAAACTACAAATGAGTTGCGGCACATAAGTTAACGGAGTATATCATAAATTCCACAAAAAAAAGAAAAAAAAAGGAACTTTAAACTCTCCGTAGTCCCTCCCATCCCGTCGTCCCTGGCCTGGTTGATTTCCTCCCATGGAAGTTTAAGATGTAAGGTAACTTAGTAAGGGGCTCAAAAACGCCTTGTCTATTCTTTCGCCTTAGGAGGTCTTAATTTTGCCTTCTTCACTCATCCAAGTTTTGTCGAAGTCATTGGGGAAATGAATAGTCAACTAGTTACTGGTGCTGAATTGCTTTGACGAAGCTGGGATTGCAGGGAGCCCAGCATCTCTCGCGCCTCTTGCCTCCTCATCTGATAAATACAGCTATAGTATAGGAAATGGAGGGGCAACAAGAAAGATAATTCCGTTTGAGCTAAATACGACGGCAGGAACTTCATCCAGTAAGTAACTCATCCTGTGAAATGTTCGTAGGCGGGGGTCTCGAGCCCTCAGCTGTTCCTCCATTCCATCGTCTGGGACTCACTCTGTTTCGGCGATATGCTGTTGGCCACTTGGTTGGCTGTGGATGTGCTGTCAGATTGAATGGTTCCCTGGATGGACAGCGCATCAATCCCGTCAGGTTGACTAAATGCGCCATGTACTGTACATGTCCAGTTCTTCCATTGACTGCGTGCGACGAGCGCTCCAAGCTGGACACCGTCTGGGGCCCCCCAGCGTGTGCGTGAATGGTAATGTTGATGTTGATTCTGATAATAATAAGAGTCGTCGATCTGCAGGATCTCGAGAGAATAACAAATACCCTGAGCACGAGACAAGCACCTCGTCCGAACATCGACCATCCCCAAAACAACTCCTTGAACCCAGTGGTGGCGGGGTAGACTGGCCGGTGGGACCATGAATTTCACATTTGGTTTGGTTTGGTTTGGTCCCAGTCCATTTCTTGGCGTGATTTTCAGTGGGACCAGGATTAAAATGGGAGTGTAAAGGGACCAAAATTTTCAGAAATGGAGTGTAAAAGGACCAGATTTGAGCCTAACATGACCAGAATGGGACTAACAAATCTTGATATTCCATGTAAAGTGACTGACTATGAAAAATAAGAACATGATCTGGGACTGATCATTATTTTGGCTCAAGTTTGGTCCCGTTCTGATGATTATGTAATACATGTACAATTGGTAACGATCATTGGTAACGCTCACAAACTCATTCATACTATATACAATCTCGGCCAATTTTTTCCTCCACTGTATCATTGGAAGAGTATTCCATCACAATACCATTCTTATCAACAATTTCTTTTTCTTTTCCATGCTTAACCATCATCAATTTCTTCACGGTTTCTCCTTGCA